GTGGGGTTCCCCTTGTAGGCTGGCAGAGTTCTAGCCTACAAAGGGCAGCAGGGAGTAGGAGAAGGGCAATTGGCAGGGGGTGCCACATGCATGTGTGCACATGTCTTCCAGGCAGCCTGGAGACCAGGTCCCCACAGGTAAGTTTGTGGGGAGAGGGAGGGATTGAGGCCTCCATAGTGCGGGAGGGACGGAGTTGGGCAGGGCTGGGGCTGGGGCACCTGGGTGGTGCATGAGGCTTGGGGCATAGGGCTGCAACGCCACAGGGGCCACAGGGCCTGGGCAGGGAGAAGGAAGGGGCCGTGGAAGGCTCATCCAGGCATGGGGGCTGGCTCCCTGCCATTGCATGCACTCCCAGGGGGGCATTGAGGGGCACGTGCCCCCCTGCTTTGTGCACTGGATGGGGGTCAGGGTGCCTGCTGCAGGCTTGGGCTCCCTGCCCTCCTGCAGTCTCCCCAGGGCCTCCGCAGCCCAGTGGGCAAGGCCCAGCACAGCATGGCAAAGCGGGGTGGGGAAGCTCGATGCTGCCACCAGGAGCCCTGAACTGCCATGGTGAGGTGCCCCCTGCCCACACAGCAGCAGCAGGGGTGGTAGCACGGAGTTGTTCCCTTCGTTGCTGCTGGGCTGGCAGGGGGCGCCTCACCATGGCAACACAGGGCTCACAGCAGCAGCACTGAGTATCCCCACCTGGTCCTGCTCTGCCCTGTCATGAGCAGCCGAGGCCTCAGGGGGAGGGCAGCAGGGCGGGGAGCCCAAGCCCACAGAGGGAAGCCCATATCCACCTTCCCTTACAGGCTCTGTTCCAGCTGTGCTGCCCATGGGGGAGAGGGAGCTGGACCCTGTGGTCCACTCCGCTGCAGCAGCTGCTGCTTCCCACATGTGGCAGCTGGGGCTCAGGTACTGCTGGGAGGATCAAGGGGCTGCAGACTCACATCTCTGACCCTGTAGCCTGGGCAACTTGGGGACTCCTTTGGCAGGGCTGGGAGGGGCAGGAGGCTCTGGGTGAGAAGTGAGGGGCACTTGCAGGGCCCAGGAGGCTGTGGGTGATGAGTGAAGGGCATTGATAGGGCTGGGTGGCTGTGGGTGCTGAGTGAGAGGCACCTGCAGGGCCCAGGGGGTTGTAGTTGGTGAGTGAGGGGCACCAGCTGGGGGAGGGGAGGGGGGGCTGTGAGTGCTGAATGAGGGCACCAGCAGGGCCGGAGGGCCTGTGGGTGGGGAGTGAGGGGCACCAGCATGGCTGGGGGGCTGTTGTTTGGGAGTGACGGGCAATGGCATGGGCAGGGCACCAGTATATCAGGGCTGCTCAGCACCACAAAGGGGTGGTGGGGGGGAAGCTGCAGCTGGACCTGCATCCTGGTGAGTGAAGGGAACTTGGGGAGCTCTGATTTTCCATGATAAGAAACCCAAAATCAAATGCCAAGATTTATAGGCTTATTTTAGAATTTATTTTATTATAGTGATTGAGGCACTAGTAGTCTTCTAAATCACTTCAGAATTGTAAATATAACAATAAAACATTGTGTTTAACTGATACCTATTTCATTTTAATCACAGAAAAAATGTGGATTTGGGGGGTTTAATCAGAGAATTTGTGCTTTTTTTATCAGAGAAAACCAGGATCCCTGGTGATGAGCAACAGGGCCATGCAAAGCTGGATTAAGGCAGCCTGGATGCCAAGGTATGCTGTGATGCAGGACCTCACATGGCTCCATTCTCAAGACCCTCAGGGCAAGTAGAATCTGACTGACTAGCCTTGGATGCTGTCTCTGAAGAGAACTTAAACATCTAGGGGAGTAACTTTGCTAACTTTGCCAAGAAGCCTGCAGCGGAGGACTAGAACTTAAACATCTAGGGGAGTAACTTTGCCAAGAAGCCTGCAGGGGAGGACTCAGAAGCATATTGCCATTTGGTTTAAAAAAAAAAATCTAAATTAAAAAAAATGCAGATTACATACTTGACATCCTTTACACTCATGTAAGATGAAAATGTAGTAGCTTATTTCCACTGAAAATGTCATAGCTTATTTCTACCGTCAGGTGAACAAAATAACCTTTAAGGCTAAAGTGCAGTATTTTCTACTGCCATGAAAGAGATAACTGAGTCTATAATCAATTATTGGTACTAATGTTCTTTGGGCACTGACCATGAGTTGTGTTATCAAGATAATGGGCTAAGACTCAACTCTAGCTTTTTAACTCACTACACAAATGATAGAATAGGTCCAAAAGACTTGATGCTCTTGTACTTTGGCTAGAAGGAAAAATGTTTAAAATTGTAGGATGGAGAAAGGGAGTTAAGGAAACAACGATCTACTTACTGACTCTCAGTCCCGAGTAGCATCTCCATCTTTTCTCCTGCATGATTACTAAGGATAGTTAATCTGAAGAGGTGACTTGCAGAGTTCTGCCGTGAATACAACATAGTTGAACTGTTTTTTACAGGAGAGGAATTCAATTCTTCGTTGTCACACTGTTCAACCAACAGCTGGTCCCTTAAGGAATAGGCCGTAACACTGTAGCTCTCTTCACTGCAAAACAAAAGGAATGGTACTCTGTGTGAAATAAAGAAAACCACACACTTATCTTCAACGTGAATAATTCTCCACTAAAAGTGTCCAGAAACAGACTGACTACTACAGCCCATTTTCAGCAGTGTTCGTACCACATGAGTATTTTGACACTTTCACCCCTACAGCAAATATTTTTCAGAAACTTACAAAACATCTGCTTGTCAAAGACACAAAAGCAGCTAATTGTTTTGTTTTAAGGAATTTCACTCAGCAGTACAGTTACATGTTTTTGACACTCCTTTTGTAATGTAAGCTTAACTTACTTAATTTAGGGCACGTCTACATGTGCAAATAAGTGCAACTAAATTTAATGCACATTGAGTGATTTTGGCAGGTGTTTACATGTGCAGAGACTTTGGACTAGTTAGTGCACTTGGCACTAAAGTTAGTCCCAAGACCCTCCAGTACTGTCATATGCCCTTGTGGTCACTGGGGGGACCTCCAACCTCTGGCCACATGGCTGCCAACACTTGGCAGCCATGTTGAAGCCAGAGCCAGCTGCCAGCACCTGGCAGCCATCTTGAAAGCTCTGATCCCTAGTCAGACCTTTCCCTGCACAGGAACCACATGCCTAGCACTGGGGTGGTGTGTGGCAGCTCCCTCCTTGCCCACACTGCCTCCCCATGCCACGGCTGCCCCATGCTTGGCCAGCCACAAGCCCGGGGGATGGGCTCAGGCCACACCCCCAGTGGTGCTAAAGTTAGTGCCAGATCATGTCTACATGTGCACTCTCATGGACCCAGAGGGACAGACTTCCATCTTCAGCACCCTCTGTGTAAAAATGACGTTTATTTCCTACCTATGGGGACTTTTTACCACCTTGTACCATCTACACTTTTCCCAGAGCCTGACGAAGGGACTTTGATCCTGAAAGCTTCAATTTTCTTGCCATTTTCCAGTTGGTCTAATAAAAGGTATCATTTTGGAACCAAGAGTTCTAGTTTTTTGTATATCTTCCATGTACAATAATGCACTTTAACTAAGCATGCCCATATTCGATCCCTGCATTTGCGGGGTTCAAATTGAGGCCCGATCAGCCTAAATTCACCATTTTTAATGTGCATTAAGGGCGTAATGTGCGTTGTTTCTCATGTAGATGCACCCTTAGAGTTGATGACAAACAGTAACAAATATTGCTTATGGAGAATAATATCTCCTGGTTTATCTTCTCTAACTCTAAATAACAGCTGACAGCTAAAAACAGTTGTTTGTTTCAGAATTTATTTTACAAGCAGAGCTACTAAGGTTGCTTACACATGTGAAAAAGAGAACAAAATGGTGCTTTACTTTAAACTCCACACTCCCCCAAGCCTAGCCCAGAACATGTCCAAAAGTGGCATTGAGTTAGTTGGATCTGGCTCGCCCAATGATGGTATAGACCAGGTGCTTTAGTGGGGCTTTTTTGGTGCTTTTGTCTAATAGCTGATTGAATCTAATAGCCGATGTAGGGGGAAAAGAGTGCTTTACCAAAAGAAGCAGTGTATTACTTTGACCTGGCTTGGCAGCATCTGTATAAATTGGGCACTTCAGCAGGGTTTTTTGGTACTTGCACCTAATACTTGATTAGATAACAGGACTTCACCAACAAATCCT